TAATGATGTACCAAAAATGTTGGATTTAGTATCATGGTTTTCCACAAGTAATGTAGCAAAAACGAAAATTTTCTCAAGTAGTACATTGCATCCTAAACTGAAATTTCAGAAAAGCTAACCATACAGTGTCTCATTTTAAACAATTTCAAAACCAAACTTCGCGTAAAGCTATAAAATACTACCATCATCTCAATAATACACATACAACATCAATCTTATTCGCTACGATCTAGGAAAAATTATACGGAGTAAATCAAAAATCTATATAAAGGTAATTCAACCAAAAGGGGTAAAGGAACAAACCTCTGAAACATTGAAGAAAACCACCCCTTTGATTTTGTCACAGATTTAGAGCCATCCACAACCCGATCATCTTCTTCCTCCTCACTGTCACTGCTGATAACCTCTTCTTTATCCATCATACTCTCACCCTCAATATCTGCTGCGACATAATTTACATGTTCATCCCCATTCTCAGTCACAGGGTCAGTATAATCCAGCTTCACATCTTTAGGTTTATTATCATCCCACACTCTATTCTTTTTCGTAACCTTTTTCTTAGATTCCGGCTTGGAACCCTTACTAACTACAGCAGCACTATCATTCTTCTTCCCGGCCTTTGATCGTAACTTCTGAAGCTTATTTACATCAAATGCTCCATTATTAGAACTCAAATTCTCTTTATCATTTACACTACCGCGATTTTTAACCTCCTCACCCCCATTTACATACCCATTCATCGACTTATCATCAGCACCATTCTCACTCTTCAAATTCCCACCACCATTCATCTTCTTTCCACCCTGATCAAACTTCGCCTTTTGCACCAATTCCTGCTTCTTCCCAACAATCCTCGCCCCCACTTTCAACGATTTCTTGATCTCCTCAGCTCTAGCCTCAGCTTCCAACCTTAATTGCCTATAAACATCATCGAAATCGCCGTAATCCGTCCTAGTCGGATCATACACAACCGAGAATTCGCGCTTAACCATCGAAAGCAAATCATCAACATACAACAAATGCAGAATCTTTTGATACACAGCAACAAAAACTAATCCCAATTCATTGTGGAAAGTCCATTTAAGGGTGTAAGACGCACCCGGAGCGTCGTAAACGAACGACGCTAACCCAGATCGCTCCTCCAATAAACACGATCGAATCAAAGAATCGATCGGAGAACCTTTAAGAGCATTACTGAGCTCATTGCAGGTCCATAAGATTAATCCTCCTCTACTGAAAATCAATAATTGTTCTAACATCGCTAATCTAAACCCTAATTCAAACCCTAATTATACAAAAACAAATCTGCAAAATCAAACCAATAAACCGTTACAAATTGAATAAAATTGAAACCTAGACAATTCAAACTTAATATTTAATGATTTACTACAAATCTCATAAATTTGTAACATAAAATTAATTTTTTTTTTTTTTTTTTAATGAGCAAATAAATCAAAATAAGTAAGGAGAGAGAAAGAGAGAGACGACTTACGTTTTACGGAATTGTCGGAATTACGGACTACCGCGTTGTTTTATTTTTCTTTTATTTATAAAGAGAGGGGGCGTTGGGGTTTTTATCGGATGGTTTTTTTTTTAATCCAATTTTTTTTTTTTATTTCCTTTTTTTATTTATTTCCTTTTTTTATTTATTCCCTTTTTTTTTATTTTTTGACACATACTTTCCAATTTCCATATCTATCTATCTATGTTGCGTCAAATAAAGATCTACTTTGTAATAATTTCAGTTCAATAAAAATAAGTTTAATGTAGTAAAAATTAATTTTAATTCAGTAAAAATAACTTCAGTTCGGTAAAATGTAGTTTTCTTTCTTAAAATAATTGCTACATTAAATCATTGGCTTGCTCGCTTCTCCTCTCCTCTTCTTTCGTCCTCTCTTCAAGGGTTTCTCCAAAACCTTGGTTGTTTAGGCCGGAAATAGTCTAATTTCTTTGCTATTTAGGTTTTAATAAATCTACACAGGTAGTGTAGATATTCGTCCATCTCCCTATAGTGGAGTGTCTCCCTATGGTGGAGTCGTTAGGTTTTATTAGTTTAGTTGTTTGTTTATATTCGTTTAGGGTTTGTTTGTGTGTTAGGGTTTATCAAAAAGGTAATATCTTTTGCCCTATTGTCAGTTCTTTGTTAATGATCTGTTCGGGATCGCAACGGTTGTAAAGTTTTCAAATGCATTCAAGCGAATCAGATGAGAATCATCCTTACGGCTACAACAAATCGTTAGACTGTCTCTCTAAAAAGGTTATATATTCCAGCAATGTGTAGATTTTTTCAACGATCGTAGCTTTGATGAAGGAAACCATAATTTGATTCAATTTTATGTATTTGTTAATTTAGATTTCATTTTAGATGTCAGATGACTTTTTATTAATGAATTGATTTGTTTCACAAAAAAAAATAGTTTTCATAGATAATAATTATAATAGAAAATCAGTAAAATAATTTCAATTCAGCAAAAATAATTTCAGTTCAGTAAAATTAATTTAAGTTCAGTAAACATAATTTAAGTTCAATAAACATAATCTTGTTCTCAGTAAAATAATTTTAGTTCAGCAAAAATAAGGGTAAGAGAACGGAGCCTTAATCTTTATTCACCCAAAAAATCTATGTTAATATTTAAAGGGTTTTTAGAAGAAAAAAAATACTTATTTTTCAAGCAAAATATTTGTTAAAAAAATAATACATCTTTTATAATTGTAGAGTAAATTCACCACAACTCTCAATTCTCGTGCTTTCTCACACTTTTTTTTGGAAATAACTCATAAGTAGCCACCACAATTTCAAATAAACATGAAAACAAAATCCATAATTTCCCTTTCTCAAAAAAAAAAACCAACTATAACTTCCTCTTATACTATCTTTTTCCTAAATTTATATATATTACGTGCATTAACATGGGTACAATGCAATCTAGTAGTTTCAATTACCGAGAAAAAAAATACAATAACTACTAAAAAAAATTGATGCTCCATAACTACCAATATTTTTGTTAATAAATTGTCCATTGTTCTATTCTAGCGAGCTATCATCTTTACTTATACAAAATAAAAACCTTCAAATAAATAAATAAATATATATATATATATTGATGTCCATTACTCAAATTTTGCCACGCACGATCCTTGATTCTTCTCCTCCTACAACTACTTCCCGTCCCTAAAAAATAAAACACAAACTATTGGGTGTGCTTTGTGCAACAACTAGGTTTCTCTCACTTGCAATTGCAATATAATCACAAGCTCATCACACCACAGTTTCTTTCTCCTCGTTTCAACTATTATGTTCGGCCTTTGATTCATAGAAAACTAGTGTGTGCCCCGGGCAATACCCTAGGTTGCTAGTTTGTTTATTTCTTTAATTTGGTAATTGTAGAGTAAATTCACCACAACTCTCAATTCTCGTGCTTTCTCACACTTTTTTGGAAATAACTTACAAATAACCGTAACAATTTCAAATAAACATGAAAACAAAATCCATAATTTCCTTTCCCGAAAAAAAAAAAACTCTATAATTTCCCCTTACACTATCTTTTTCCTAAATTTATATATATCACGTGTATTAACACATGTACAATCTAGTAGTTTCAATTTCCGAGAATAAAAAAATACAATAACTACTAAAAAAAAATTAATGCTCCATAACTACCAATTTTTTTTGTTAATAAATTGTCCATTGTTCTATTCTAGCGAGCTATCATCTTTACTTATACAAAATAAAAACCTTCAAATAATATATATATATATATATATATATATATATATATATATTGATGTCCATTACTCAAATTTTGCCACGCACGATCCTTGATTCTTCTCCTTCTACAACCACTTCCCGTCCCTAAAAAATAAAACATAAACATTACTCAAATTTTGCCACGCACGATCCTTGATTCTTCTCCTTCTACAACCACTTCCCGTCCCTAAAAAATAAAACACAAACATTACTCAAATTTTGCCACGCACGATCCTTGATTCTTCTCCTTCTACAACCACTTCCCGTCCCTAAAAAATAAAACACAAACATTACTCAAATTTTGCCACGCACGATCCTTGATTCTTCTCCTTCTACAACCATTTCCCGTCCCTAAAAAATAAAACACAAACTATTGGGTGTGCTTTGTGCAGCAACTAGGTTTCTATCACGTGCAATTGCAATATAATCACAACCTCATCACACTACAGTTTCTTTCTCCTTATTTCAACTATTATGTCCGACTCTGATTCATAGAAAACTAGTGTGTGCCCCGGGCAATACCCTAGGTTGCTAGTTTGTTCATTTATTTAATTTGATAATTATGTTCAACTATTTGAATATATGTATTTATATTCTAGTCTTGTGAAAAATAAATGAATTATATTACCTCTAGTTTACTTAATAAATAAAAGAAATATATGATATTATATGAAATTTGAAACATTAATTATTAACAGTCGGTTGAGACTTGAGATGGTAACACCGTGTGGCCAGCTAACAAACGAGTAACCCCCGACCAATTAACCTAGCTTGATTGTTCGAGTAACTCCTGACCGGGTGAGTAACCCATGACCAAATAACCCCGAACATTCTTTACTATATATATATATATATATATATATATATATATATATATATATATATATATATATAATGTGGCTGGAAATACTGTGTGGCCAGCCAAATATGAAAGTTTGTGTTACTTAATTATAGTCATATCATCGGTTTATATTAAAATGAGATAAATATTTTTTTCATGAATGAAAAGAGAATAGAGGAGTTATGATATTGCACCCTGTATGATTTGAGATTTTTTTTTTTTTTTTGAAACCACGACATATGGTGTTTATAAAAATATTACAAGTGTCTCCATTAGATATATGGTCTACCTAAAATGAAATGATTATATATATAAAGGCCTAAGTTTTGATGAGTTAATGAAAAATAAAAACTTATCTAACGAGTTCAATTAATAATACTTCGTATAATGCATCCCTTAACTTTTCTAATTATATTTACACAAATTTTTTAAAAAAAACCGATTTACATTAGTGTACTGTGTGGCGGGTTGAATGAGGAAAGTAATTAACTTTCCTTGTTTTTGCTCGCACGTGTCAATGTTATTTACAGTATTTGGTTTCTCTCTCTTCCTAATTTTACTTCTCTCTCCTTTGCTCATTCTCTCTTCCGCCATATTTTTTGCTCCCGTTTCCGCCATTGTTACAAGCTTGTAGCTTTCTTCCATCGATTTCTAGGTTTGTTTACTCATAGTTTTGTTTTCTTAATTTACTTTTTTTTTCTTTTTACTGTGAAAATCGTCTTGCAAACGAATCTACTAACTGCAGGTGAATTTTTTCTTCAATTTTTATTTTATGTATTCTGTTTTGCACTTTTCTTTACACACATTAGAAATAATCATTGAGGATCAATTGAAATAAAGGTAATTCGTGTTTTTATTTGAATTCTAGGGTTTTATATGATGAATTTAACTAGGCTATATGGTGGATTTTGTAATTTTTGCAAATTTTACTTATTTTCATCATTCAAATCAAATTATAGGGTTCTATGTTGTGGATGTTAATTTGCTTTGTCTTTTATGTAATTTGATTTTTGTTATCCTGCAATATGAAATTATACTTTATTGAAGAAATTGAAATTAATGTATTTTGTAGCTTTCCGAATTTCAGATAATTTTGGACCAAATAGACATTATACAATAGATAAAAGAGTTTTAAAAAAGTGCATGGTAGTATTTAAAATTTTTTAGGCCTTACTTCTATGGATTTTTTTTTGCAAAGAAGGGAATTATCCTACTTACAAAAGCATTAGACAATAGAGTTGAGTACAGTAAAAATTATTTAGTCTTTTGAACTAGATATCACTGCCTTATTACTTGAAAATTGAGAGGGATAAACTTTCAAAGGATAAATCTTGGTGGGATTTATTTTGGTGTCTTTTGTAGGGGATTTGGTTGAAGAGAAATGTTGGACACTTTGGGAGAAGATCAATGAAAACCTTTGTGTTGCAAGACCTGTCTTAACAATTGCTATGGATGCGGGCCTTAGTAAGGCTATTCTTGAGATTGGTAACATTTAACTTTTTTCTTATTTGAAGCATGTGAAACAGGAAGTTATTATCAGTGATTTTGTTAAGCTTACTAGTCTTAACAATCTTATCTCTTTCTCTCATGTAAGTAGATGTGGTAATGTTGCTGGTCATAAACTTGCCCAAGCTAGTGGAGATGAGAGTATGGGTTGAGGAGGCTCCACGTTGTGTAATGGCTGTTGTGATGCTTGATTCTGCTATCATCCCTTAATAAATTTTGCTACTGTAACTTTCAAATTTCATCCTTCTTTTTTTATAACACTTATTCAATGGTTTTAGGGATCTCGAGGCCTCAAGAACTTTTAGAGCAAGTAAACTGATATTATAATAGTCAATATGCAACTATGATAAGAGCTTGAGTCATTTATAGATGATGATTTGGATTGGCACAATGTACTTTTGATGACACCAGAGTTATTGATGAATTGAAGTTTCTCTCTATCCTTCTTTTAATGAGCATACTAGCTATTTTTTTTAAATGTGTGATTGTGTTGCAATGGTTATAATAGCAATGGAAATTGAAGTGTTTAATATCAAGGCTATTAGCTCAAAAGGTAGAGCAATGTACTATAAGTGTACATGGTGTGGGTTCAAGCCCCACATAGCCTATACATATTGGTGTATTCATATTGTTGGTGTAACCATGTAACCATGGCCATTTTTATATAACTTACTTAGGATCATTTAATTAATTAAGTTCTTTTGATTAGGGTTACTTTTACCTTGGTTATGGTCACTTTCACTCTTTATTACTTTTGTCCATGGTTAGGGGTACCTTTTCACTTGAGTAAGGTCACTTTTGTCTCGATTAGGGTCACGTTTACCCTCGGTGAGAGTCACTTTACTTTTGTCTCAGTTATGGTTATTTTTGCGCTGGTTAGGGTCACTTTTAATCTTGCTTAGGGTCACTTTTGCCCTTGGTTTGGGTCACTTTTGCCCTCAATTAAGGTCACTTTTTGCCTTGCTCAAGGTCACTTTTGTCCCAGTTAGGGTCACTTTTGCTTGCTTAGGGTCACTTTTGTCTCAAATTAGGGTCACTTTTGCCCTTGGTTAGGGTCACTTTTGCCCTTGATTAGGGTCACTTTTGCCCTCAATTAAGGTCACCTTTTTCTTTGCTCAAGGTACTTTTGTCCCAGTTAGGGTCACTTTTGCACTCGCTTAGGGTCACTTTTATTCTTGCTTAGGTTCACTTTTACCCTCAATTAAGGTCACTTTTTTACCTTGCTCAAGGTACTTTTGTCCCAGTTAGGGTCACTTTTGCACTCGCTTAGGGTCATTTTTATTCTTGCTTAGAGTCACTTTTGTCTTGAATTAGGGTTACTTTTGCCCTTGGTTAGGGTCACTGTTGCCCACAATTAAGGTCACTTTTGTGCCAGTTAGGGTCACTTTTGCACTTGGTTAGGGTCACTTTTTCTCTCGCTCAGGGTCACTTTTGTCCCACTTAGGGTCACTTCTTCCCTTAGTTAGAGTCACTTTTATCCCCAATTTGTGTCACTTTTGTTCTCAATTAGGATCACTTTTGTCAATTAGGATGACTTTTGCCCTTAGTTAGGGTCACTTTTGTCTCTAGTTAGAATCACTATTTCTTAAGTTAATACTATGGTACAACAAATAGCCTATGTAGGACTCGAACCTACATCCTCTATGCGTATGTAGAAGCATAGGGTGCTCGACCAATTGAACTAATAGGCTTGTAAACAACATAATAAAAAATTGTTTTTTTGTATATCATGATTTTCTCTTCCAATTAACAAATGACATATTTACAGAGGGCTATAAATATACTCTTATATTCAATAAAATTGCATAGTACCTTGATAATACATAAGCATTAAGCACCAACAACAATTTTACAGAAAGCTATGAATATACTCAGTATCAATAAAATTGCATAGTACCTTGATAATATAAATTGTGATAAATTGTGATACACCAGTATTAGAACGACATTGAAGCTATAAGTGAAAGACAAAACCACAAAATAATCAAAAGCATCACCATAAATATTAGCGAGAATTGCGATAAAATGAAAACAAATACAATAACAACAGGATACTAGATTATTCTGACATTACCAAATACTAGCTGTAGTTGTTTCCATCGTGTAGCTTCAATTATGATTTGAGAGTTAAATATTTTAATTTCATGTCATGATTTGAATTGAAGGTTCGGAAATATGACCGGAAAAATCAACTGGAATTGTTAATCAATAAATTTGAAAGCAAGTATTGCAATTTGAGTAATTTAGGGTTCGTAATTTGATCATCAACAGGTCAATCAATTGCACGTTGAAAATTAAGATTAGTGGAATTGAAATTCTATACAAATACAACTATCTTTTTGTGGTTTGAGGTTGAATTTGGTTGCAATATTCTTTTGTTTGGTTGAACAAACATGAGAGAAAAATATTGGGGACTGTGATTGTTGACTTGTTGTTGTTGTTTTCAACTTTTCATGAATGACTTGATTGCTTATGGGCCTTGTGGCACGTGTGAGATTTGGATGTACAATAATATTATTGTACACCCGGAGCATACAAAAACTTTTGTTAAATTTATGTGGTACGTACTGTAATAGTGTGGTATCAAAATTTTCAACTAAATTTAACTAAAATAATAATAATTCTATTTGTATCCTTGAAACATCTCATGCATAAATAACAAACGCTTGAATATTAATAACATAATTGAGTACTAAAATAAATTGTATTGAAAACTTCTATAAATTTAAAAATTCCCTAAAACATCCTCTACAAAACTCTTTTCTAATAAACTACAATTGTATTTCTAAGATAGTAAAATTAAGACAAAAATTAATGACATTAAACTTAAACTTCTTCAACTGATTTGCTTGTTGGGAGTTCAACTTGTGAAGGATTCACACATCCAATTTGCTTGGTTTTGGTGTAGTCTTGTAGTAAGTTCCATACAATATTAGCTGAATTATTCCAGAAATTGCTCCCAACCCATTTGGAACCTGCCAACATAATCGCAAAAGTAATTAATTATTAATTAACTCATAAACAAATAAATTTTAACTTGTTAGCTAGATGAACATAACTTGCAATGTTACCACATATAAATATACAGGATGTTACAAATTTTAATAAAAGGTGAAGAAAGACTAGTAGCGTACCACCATTCAAAGGTCGATATGGATGAATGCATAGGCGGTACAGCAAACACCATTCAAGAAACCCGCTAGGGTTAGAAAGAAGGGCATGTATTCTACACTTTTAGTTCTCACCACTTTTTTCTGTAATTAAAAAAAAAATCATGTATTAGTCTCATTTCATAAGCATTACAAAATCGTTGAAATACTTTAATTATTTGAAAACATTATAAATCTTAAAGGATGGATTAGAAAACGTACCATGATTGTCAGTGGTGAGAAATACATTGAAACATTGAAGACGACGCAAAAGGCTACAATAAAGATATTCCTCTTATCAGTATTGTGGAATATCAGTAATGTTAAAAGCAATATTACCCTAAAGAAGAGGGCCTCTCCAAGCAAAACCAAAGAGATAAATTTCTGCAATATACAAATATGTTAAAATACATTAATATTCAAAAGAGTGCAACCCTATTGAAATAAACTAAATATGTACGAATATTATTATCACATTACGTTCTTTAATCAAAGAGAAAAAGTATATAAGAAGTTTTACCCTTTTAGAACTAGAGGCATAAGTAAGAAAAATGGCAAGGTAGATGAGCTCAATGCCCAAGCCAATGTCATTAATAGTAGTTACAAGGATGTTATTTGGATGGACGAAGGGAAGACCATATAGACACCAAAATAAACAGTTTATAACCGTGCATAGGTATGGATCTGGCTTGAACTCTTCCACGGATTTGTTTTTAATAATTCGCAAAAATGTAGGCCTGCAATTGATTATTCAAACACATAAATATCATACGAGTATAATAATTAAATAAATTAAATTAGTCAAACACATAAAGAGTTTTAAGTGTGAAACGTTAATGTGTGAGAAGTATTTTTTTAGTTCCTAATCTATGTTTTGAAGAAAAATATTAATTTTAGACGACAATTCAAAATCGACCAATAATTAAAAAAAAAAAAAAAAAAAAAAAAAAACCTTAAGAAAGGAATCGTCCAAAAGAGATGACGTTTCCAACAATACAAAGTAGATAGTGTTGTTTAGTTAGATTTGAGCGAAACACAATAATTTGGTAAAAAAGATCAAGTAATATTATATTAGTATAATTGTTGAATGAAATTGAAGGAAAAAAAGGGTAGAAAAGAGAATAGGGTGTTTCTGATTGCATTAGGGCTCATCATTTTGTAATAATTTCATCACTTGCTCTGAATCAAAATCACAATTAGAAGAGATTTTTATGATAAAAAAAAAGGTTGAATTATCTTTAATTCACTTTTGTGAACCCTTTTCCTTTAATTTTATTTAGTTTTGCAATTTGAATTTCAATAAATCTACACAAGTAGTGTAGATATTCGTCCGTCTCCCTATGGTGGAGTGTCTCCCTATGGTGGAGTCGTTAGTTTAGTTGTTTGTTTTTGTTTAGGGTTTGTTTGTGTGTTAGGGTTCATCAAAAAAGTAATCATCTTTTGCCCTATTGTCAGTTCTTTGGTAAAGATTTGTTCGAGATCGCAACGGTTGTCAAATTTTCAAATGCGTTCAGGCGAATCAGTTGAGAATCATTACAACAAATCGTTAGACTGTCTCTCCGAAAAGGCTGTATATTCCAGCGATGTGTGCGATAGATGTACCACAGTGCAAGATCTTTTCAACGACCGTAGCTTTGATGAAGGAAAACCTAATTTGATTCAATTTTATGTTTTTGTTAATTTAGATTTCATTTGTAGATGCCGGATGGCTTTTTATTAATGAATTGATTTGTTTCAAAAAAAAAAAGTGAAATATAAGTTGGTGGCTTTATAAAAATAATATCGTTTGTTAAATATTTTAAATATAGTTGAACATCAAAATTCATTATTTAATATGCAGCAACCTAAATGATATGTTGTATCAGTTTGTGTTATTTGTTAAAGTGATTTTTTTTATTATTTAGCTATCATAATAAATTATTCCTTCTAGTAAACATATTTTGTGGTTAAAAAGAAAAAATCTTTAAAATTGTTTTGCATTTGTGGGTTATATATTTTAATTAACTATAATCCACATGAATTATGGTTGAGTAACTGATCAAAGAAATGAAACTAATTTTGCAATCATATTGTTGTTAAAATATACACATATAATTTCACAATTAAATTTTTAGAATTTATGGTTATGGGTTCAAATATTAATGCTAATGAATTATAAATTTTATGAGAAAACATTGATGTATAATTATTAATAATAGGTGACATGACAACACGTGGCAAGATTGGCAACACGTGGCGAGATTACAATTCATACCATTGAGTTTTATTATTGATATATTGATAACTTATTTGGATTATATATG